CAGAACAGCCTTCGAAGCACTGCTCTTCCTGGGGAGAGACTGAGGCACAGGGGGTAAGGCCCTGTCCAGAGTCAGCAGCTGGTCTCTGCCTGGTCCTGTCTCAGAGCCCCCCTCGCACTGCTCAGGGCAAAGGCTCGAGCTGCTGCCCGTCTCGGCCGGGGAGAGACGTCTGCGGTGAGCTGCCGGGGTGAGCGCAGGTTTTGCTGAACAGAGTGTGACCTTCATGTCCTCCTTGTGCAGCCGTTCTCGGTGAGACTGGATGAGACGACGGACCCAGACAAGCGGCAGATGCTGGAGCGGACCCAGCGCGCGGTGAGGCTGGCCACCGAGCCGCTCGAGAGCGCCGTGGCGTCCGGGCTCTCTGCAGAGGAGACCAGACGCTGCACCGAGGTGGGACTTCAGGCGTAGGGCAGCCAGCCCCTGGCTTTCAGATAGCTGATGTGCACGGGTGTAACTCTGTGTCTTAGCCTGAACCAGCCTGGGCTGCAGCTCCAGAAGCTGCACACGATAGGAGGCCAGTTCCTGGGGGCCAGGTTAGTGCCCCCACTTGTACCCGCCTGCCCCAGTACCCAGTCCAGGTCCACTCCTGGGCGCACTGGAGTGAGACACGCAGTCCCCTCCTGACTCCACGCGCTGCCCTGCCCTGCGCCCCTGCCTGCCCTCCATCAGACGGGGCGGACCCTGGCGTGGCCAAGCGCGCCAGGATCGTCCATGACTCACAGTGGTGCTCCTTCTTTAACAGTGTGTTTGGTGTTGAGAGTATCACAGCACGGCCCCCACCCATTCAGCCATCCCCACGGGTGCAGCCCAGGGACATTGATGACATTCAAACTGGGCAGCTGTTCTCACCTTGCCCCCTTCACATAAACTCACTGTTCCCTAAGCTCCCTAAGTGACCTTTCAAGTGGTCGTTCCCATTTGATCCCGTATAGATGGGTCTGAACAGCACAGCACTGAGGCAGGCGCTCTGTAGTAATTAAGCAAAGCTGTTGGTTGTAAGGAGACTGCAGGGAATATTTGTGGCTTAAGTTTTAGATTATCTCAGGGCGGTGCTTTCCGGGGTCTGTCTATCCTCTGTGGCTCCAGATAGTCCGGAGTCCGTGAAACTTTGAAGTTCTGTTCTGATTTCCACCGTTCTGCTCAGCACTCTTTGTGGACCCAGTCATGGTAGCCAGGCACCATCCAGTTCCTCTGGTCTCACGGCAGAGGAGACAGTTGTTCGTGCAGGCTGTTAGCCACATGTTGCCTGCCTTATCCTTTTCCTGACTCCTTCCTCTGTTGCTGCAGGAGAACAGAGACCACTTGTGCCCTGCATGGCCACTTGCAAGCTTTTAAGTCCCCAGGCACCACACAGGGAGCTGGGAGGTGGACCAGAAGCACTGAGCACGTCGCTAGGCCGATTAACTGAGCGACACTCGTGTTTCTTACGGCCACTTGCTGGATCCTTTCATCGTTATAGCCTGCGTTACCTTCTCTCTCATGGTTGTTTTTGTCTTAAAGTCTACTTTATCGGAAATTAGAATTGCAGCTCCTGCTCTTTTTGATTGCCATTTGCTTGATTTTTTTTTTTTCCAGCCCTTGATTTTTAGTGTTTTTCTCTTTGTCTCTAAGGTGAGTCCTGTGGAGGCAGCATATTGATGGGTCATGTTTCCTTATCCAGTCTACAGCTCCGTCTCTTGAGGGGTGCGTT